TTTATTTGGAAATTAAAGTGATTTCTATATTTTATCCATTCAAAATACTACGAAAGCGATCCCAGTTCTGCACATAAACCTTGAAAAGAATTTAAAGAAATGTAAGCATAGAGTCCTTAAGAATGTGATGTTACCTTTTAAAAACTAATTGTAAACGTTTATGCAAAGTGTAAACTATTAAATATAATCTACAAATCATGCAATACTGTATCACTAAATAATAAGTGTTTTAAGTGGCTTAGCTAAACAGGCCTATTAGAGACAATTACTAATCATTATGATTTATTAAATCATTCTTTCATTTCACTAATCAATCTTTTTTTTTCTTTTTCTTTTTTTTTATTAAATACAAGGGGTCATTAATGATGCTTACATTATAACATGTGCAAATTCACACACAATGTATCTTTAGTTTGGCCAGATTTGCAGGTGCCTGTCTTAAAGGGGTCATATGATGCGATTTCAATTTTTCCTTTCTCTTTGGAGTGTTACAAGCTCTTGGTGCATAAAGAAGATCTGTAAAGTTGCAAAGACTAAAGTCTCAAATCCAAAGAGATATTCTTTATAAAAGTTAAGAGTCAACCACGCCTACCTAAAACTGCCAATTTCCACCACTGAGTATATATATATATATATGGGTTGTTGACGTGACATGGCATTTTCACTGTCCCACAAGGTAAAAATTAATATAATTAATATTGTCGTTATTTAAAATGCAGTAAATGGTTAAACATTTCTTTGTCCTACATGGACCTGTTGTTATAAAAGCTGCAGTGTTATTTGATTTTTTAAAATTTTTGAGCCAAATCTAAAAATTGTCCTATGGTGTGACTGTCCCAAGCATGGTTCAATAAATTACAACTTTTATAAATGAAAAAGAAAAGCATAAAAATGTTAATAAATAACTCCGGCATAATTGTACAAGTGTCTGTTTTAGTAAATGGCAATAATTTTTTCATCCATATATTTCTGAAAGCGTAGGAACTTAATACATTTTATCACTGAAAACCATATCCTCTGGTGTGACACCATATCTTGATTTTAAATCGACCAATTCCAGAGAAAACTTTGATTAGTTGAAGGACCCCATTTATGGTTGTGTTACTGAAGTCCCGTGTGAAGCCCATGACATGTGCACATGGTAAATTTTTGTCTCAGATTTGTTCAAATATTTAACTTTTTTGGAACCACTACAAAAGTGTTATGTCTTTTTGTATTTTGGTGTGACACCCCTAAATTATATTTTTTTATTAAAAACTGCATGTTAAACTATATAATCATGGAAAATTATGCAAATGTGTCTTGCTTACCGCTAATGACAGGCTAGCTTGGAATAGCAAAGGTCATTAATTGACAGAAAAAGGCTGATCTGGAAGAGAGAGGACATGGAAATATAGACAGAAAATTAACAGGGATCCACGCAGAAGGGAGGAGATCCTAAAAGAACAATGCAAAAAGTAAAAAGAATCAAAATGATGCCTTAAAAAGAGTAGCCATATAGTTTTTTTTAAATCATTCCCATCTTAATGCATATAGTTTGAATATCAATCATGTTTAGCTGTGCCGCACATGTAGCTGGGGGCTAGAAGAGTTTCAGTAACATACTGATTGACTAAGAGACTGAATTTTGTTGATGAAAATAATTTTTTGTTTTGCTTAAAAAACATGTTGATATTCTTTGTATCAAAACTAAACATTCTTTCTTCTTTGACATGTTCAAAATTAAATAGAAATTATTTAATAACTACCATTTCTGTCCTTTAGTGTGACATAATGTCCTATGGTGTGACACATAAAAGAACCACAGATTTGTTTTTATCTCAAAATATCTAAAAAAAAAAACAGTTGAGTATTGCAATAAGGGAGATACAAATATCACTCAACTTAAAATTGTATAATTTTCAGCAGTTTTGAACGGATGACAGCAAACTTTGTCTTGTTGTCGAAGTTTGTCTTGAAATTGTCCAACAAGTCATGGGGAAAAAAATATGTTAATTATAATTTCATATTAAATAAATAGCACTATATGAAAATAAGTGTCTAACAATGAAGATAAATCTCTCTCATGCTATTTATGTATTATTAAGATTATGTATTCTTTTTTCTTAACTTTTGCTATGTCACACCATAGGACAAATTTATGGTGCAGTTCAGTAAAAATGTTAAAAAAAGCAGTGAAAATTGACGAAGTTAGTGACCCTTTATATTTTCTCAAAGATCAGACTTCACACTACATAAGTATATACATTTCTTTCTCAAAAAAGGTATTTTACAAAAACTTTTTACTGCCTATTTGTCAACTATATATATATAATTTTAAAACAAATACATTTCACATTTGTTTCTCATGATTATTGTTGTTTTGCTTTCTATTAATTTAATTTCTATTATCTGATCCCCCCCCAGATTTTCTATCAAATGTCCACTGCTTCCTGTAACAACATCTGCCCTTCCTCAAATGTCTTCTCATGGTGAGCCAAATATTTTAATAATGATCAGTAAAATATCTTTCTTCATGTTATGGAAAAGTATGAAACATTTGGCAATAAAAAAGGCAAAGCCAGGGAAATACCCTGGTCAGGTGGCCAGTTCATCACAGGACTCACACACATATACGGACACATATTCACACTCTCACTCACCTACAGGTTATTCAAATTCAATCCCACCACGTTTGTGGCATTTTAAAATGGCTTGTCAAGTTAAAAACTTGTTAAAAAGGATATTGAGACCCCTGCAATGTGTTGTGTTGCACTCTGTCTGCTTTTGTAACATAGTGTATTTAAATGTCTCCAGTAGGGATGTCTCAATCAGGTTTTTTGTCAGTGACTCTAGTGCATCAAAACTTCATAGAAATATGACAATGCTAATGCTTATGTAAATGTGAATCATTATTCACTAATATATTGACTTAATAAAAACTCTCAATCTTTGAGATATTTGTTCCAGTTAGAGGTCATATACTTTCTCAGTACCTTCAGTACAAGCAAATGTATGCTACTGATTTTCAGAGGCGGACAGTAGTGAAGTATTTTTACTCTGCTGTAAAAGTACTTTCCAGGTGTCTGTACATTATCAGAGTGTCTTTCTTTAGAAAACTTTACTTCACAACATTCCAAAGCATAATATTGTACTTTTTACTGCACTACGTTTCATATTAAATATGATTTAAAGGGGTCATATGATGCTGCTAAAAAGAACATTATTTTGTGTAATTCAAAGATTTACTTAAGTACAAGAAAGTACTACATTTTTAATGTTCTTAAGTATTAAAGGTAAAACAAACAACAACTTTTATTTATGAAATGAAGTGCAGTAAAAAGTATGACATTATGCTTTGGAATGTAGTGAAGTAAAGTTTTCCAAAGAAAAACACTCTGATAAACTACAGATACTTTTTAAATTTGCTTGAGTAATGTAAAAATATTTCACTACTGTCCGCCTCTGCTGATTTTACAGTTATTTACAGCACATAAACATTTATATAAAATTCACAAAGAAAATGTTCTCTGTCTCTTTCCCTTTAACACAAGTAGTCCACACCCACAGGTGAATGAGATTTAACGTCAGAAATCCTACTCTGTTTAACTTGACAGCTGAATCGACGGCAGTTTCCAGTTTTATCCTGAGAGATAAAAGGTAACTTTTCCTTCAATTTATTGTGGGACTTAAAGTTAGCTTAAATTCTAAAACTTAGTTGTTTTAGATTGGTTTAGGCATTTAAATCATGACAGGAGACGAGGTTTTTTATTTATAAATGTTCTTGATGTTTTGAAAGACACTTGATTTTCAAGATGTAACACTAGTTTATTGATATTTATTCACAAGCCGCTCTGTAAGAATCTAACACCTGGTTTAGGCAGGACGTTGCAGTGGTGGAAGAAGCAGATACATGAAGTTTCACACAATGTTGCTGCCAAACTCAAAGACTTAAAAAAAAAAAAAAAATTTATAGGTTTGACTGAAATAATAATGCAATAACTGACACTTTAAATTAATGTTTCAAGAAACAACAACAAAATTTTTTAACAAAAAACAGATAAAGACAAAAAAGTAGCCATTGATAATATCTAAACAATATGTAGTAGTATAGTATCCAAATCAAAATGTAATACAATTTATTTATGTGTGATTTATGTGTAAATTATGTGCAATGTCTTAACCACTAGGGATTGTTACATAGGGCTATACAGGCATCTAGTGGCAACACAATGATATTACAGATACTAAATTGTGCAAAATGTTTATCTTAACAGTCAATTTACAAATAATGCATTCAGATTGGTGGAACTCAATGCACTGAATCTCCACAAATTACTGTCGTTACTATGACAACCAATTTGAATGTGACAAGCAACTGGTGTCTGAAAAGAATTACATATATAAATATAAATAAATATATAATTGGGGGGGGACGATAGGGATTTCGCCTAGGGCGTCAAATTGGCTAGAAACGGCCCTGCCTGATAAAATGTAAACACTGAATGCAATTGAAATCATTTGGATAATGTTCAACTTTTTGAAAACAAAAAGTTCCCATCCCTCTTTCACTCTTTGTTTTGACATGGAAATTACTGAGGACCTTTGGTCTGTGAGAGCAGATCTGTCAATGGTTACACAGACTTTAAACTTCATCACTTGGAATGTTAACGGATTTAAACGACAGAGATCAGAAATTTCAAGAACTACAAAATGCTGATGTTGTTTTCTTACAAGAGACGCACGTTGGAATTGGAGATGAAAATATTATAGACAATAAAGATGAGTTGTATATTTTCTACACAAAGTACACCTCCTCCAGCAAGGGAACAGTCATATTAGTGAGGAAAAGACTAGATTTTGAACACATAAGTAACAAAAAAGATCATTGTGGAGCTTATGTTGTGTTGAAATGTAAACTGGATGGTCAGCTGTACACTCTGGTTAGTGTTTACAACTATCAAAGAGACGAAAAAACCCTTGAGAAACTTTCAAGATACCTGCAGTCAATGACCACAGGGCTGTTGGTGATCGGTGGAGATTTCAACACAGTTCTCAATCCATTTATTGATAAAAAATGTAATACAAACAAGATAAAGAACGGAAATCACTGTAAACTGCCCTTATCTGTGGAGAAGTTCATGAAATCTCTTCAGCTGGTTGATGTCTGGAGAAGAAAGAACCCTGAAAAGCAGGATTACACATACTACATAAAAAATAAACTCTCCTGTGTCCAGACTGGATTACTTCTTTGTTCAAGAAGAATGTATGTGGCATGTCAGAAGTTGTGACATTAGAAACTCAGAGAGGCCTGACCATCAGCCTGTGTCTTTAGAGATAAACAACATCCCTGCAATGCCTTTTCAGAAAGATCACCAGGTACAAGTAATCCTCCAACAGCTGAATCTAAAAAAGCATCTTTTTACAGAGACTGGTTCATCAGTGGGTGAAGAAAGCTCACATGCAGTCAATGAGGTTGACATTATATCAGCTGTAAATTCTCTTCAAGTGTCAGACACACCAAGACCAGACGGCATCCCAGTTTCCATCTATAATGACACATTCAAGATCTAATTCCATACATAAAGATGCGCTATGACAGAATCCACAGCTGTGCATTTAACTACTCCGAGAAACACTTTAATGAAACCATGAAAAGTCCACATGACAATAGTCAACACTTCTTTAATGTCGACTACCTCATCATTGCAACTATTCTGGCAAAACGTCTGGATGATTACTTGGATTTCATTTGGATAATGTTCAACTTTTTGAAAACAAAAAGTTCCCATCCCTCTTTCACTCTTTGTTTTGACATGGAAATTACTGAGGACCTTTGGTCTGTGAGAGCAGATCTGTCAATGGTTACACAGACTTTAAACTTCATCACTTGGAATGTTAACGGATTTAAACGACAGAGATCAGAAATTTCAAGAACTACAAAATGCTGATGTTGTTTTCTTACAAGAGACGCACGTTGGAATTGGAGATGAAAATATTATAGACAATAAAGATGAGTTGTATATTTTCTACACAAAGTACACCTCCTCCAGCAAGGGAACAGTCATATTAGTGAGGAAAAGACTAGATTTTGAACACATAAGTAACAAAAAAGATCATTGTGGAGCTTATGTTGTGTTGAAATGTAAACTGGATGGTCAGCTGTACACTCTGGTTAGTGTTTACAACTATCAAAGAGACGAAAAAACCCTTGAGAAACTTTCAAGATACCTGCAGTCAATGACCACAGGGCTGTTGGTGATCGGTGGAGATTTCAACACAGTTCTCAATCCATTTATTGATAAAAAATGTAATACAAACAAGATAAAGAACGGAAATCACTGTAAACTGCCCTTATCTGTGGAGAAGTTCATGAAATCTCTTCAGCTGGTTGATGTCTGGAGAAGAAAGAACCCTGAAAAGCAGGATTACACATACTACATAAAAAATAAACTCTCCTGTGTCCAGACTGGATTACTTCTTTGTTCAAGAAGAATGTATGTGGCATGTCAGAAGTTGTGACATTAGAAACTCAGAGAGGCCTGACCATCAGCCTGTGTCTTTAGAGATAAACAACATCCCTGCAATGCCTTTTCAGAAAGATCACCAGGTACAAGTAATCCTCCAACAGCTGAATCTAAAAAAGCATCTTTTTACAGAGACTGGTTCATCAGTGGGTGAAGAAAGCTCACATGCAGTCAATGAGGTTGACATTATATCAGCTGTAAATTCTCTTCAAGTGTCAGACACACCAAGACCAGACGGCATCCCAGTTTCCATCTATAATGACACATTCAAGATCTAATTCCATACATAAAGATGCGCTATGACAGAATCCACAGCTGTGCATTTAACTACTCCGAGAAACACTTTAATGAAACCATGAAAAGTCCACATGACAATAGTCAACACTTCTTTAATGTCGACTACCTCATCATTGCAACTATTCTGGCAAAACGTCTGGATGATTACTTGGATTTGCAGTCAAAGGGTTGCGTACCAAAAAAATCAGCTGCTGTCATGATCAGTCCCAAAACATTCTGCTCTGAGATGAGGTTGTCTCGTATTCAGGATGAGATAGAAAAGCAAAAACTGTCAAACCCGACTCTTATCAGGATTTCATCATTGAGAAAAACCTTCTCAGAGATGCACCAGATATAGATACTGGATCTGTAGATGTTTCAGTTGAGAGAGACAAACTGCTGGATCAGGGCTGCCCGCTAACCCCATGCAGTTCTCATTACGCTGGCTCTGAAATGCTTTGCCTCTGCATTAGCTTGGAGTTTGAAACGGCATGATATTCTGGTTTTCAAAGAAAGAGTGATACTTTGCATCCAACCTGAGGACCTTGAGAAAATAATAGCTGCTGTGAGTAAAAGATCCAAGGAAGTTTTTTATATTAAGGAATTATCTAGAGGAGATGTTAATGGTGAACAATTAAAGTGTTTGGGAAATGAGTCTACGGCTGAGGATTGGAACAAAAAGGAAGCAGAAACACTCGTGAATAACATTCGATCTAAAATAGACAAAAGGCGATACAAAGAGTAGAGTGTGTCAATAGCATGACTTTTGGTCTGTAATAAATGATCAAAAATAAATTCTGATGGAGGATAGTGGAAGGTAAGGATCATGAAGACGATCAAGATCTCATTTGCTGATGTGTTTTTAATAATATACATATAGAGTGTAGAAATTTTGTGTGTGCCATAATTTGCCATAATTAGAATCTGGCTAAACAACACAAGGCTAGCTCAACCAATTAAAATATATAATACCTGTAAATTGGTGTATTTTGTCAGAATTTTATCCTTTTCTGTGACTTTTGTCCATCCTATGACTTGATCATTTGATTGGTCAGCTTCTCAGTTTACTTAAAATTAAGCACTTTTTTCCCCCAATCAGAGCTAAACATGCTGTTTTGTTGTTTTCTTCCCCCCTCCACTAGACTGACCATGTATGCAGTTGTTACTCAGCAGGACTCAGATGAGTTGATGGTGGTAGCATCAAACTGGTTGAGCCAAGACAAGAAACACTGTTACTGGCCTCCATTCAAATCACCAGAGAAGTGCATGGAAGCTGTTCTGAACAGAATTAAACCTGAAACTGAAGGGAAACCATGGGAGAAATTAAATATTAACTTTCACAGGGAATATGGTAATGGTCACTATTTTAAAGTAATTGTTTAAATTTTGGAATTTTTACTGTCTATTAAGTTCTCTAAAATATATTAAAATATTTATCTTATTGCAGGCACTTTTGATGAGGCGAAAGAGGGTCAAAAAGAAATCAAAGAACAGAAGGAACGGTAAGTTCCTACTTGTATTTTTGTTTCCAAAAACTAAATTTGTTCAAAAGATTTTACCTATTGAAAAGTCAAAGAATTCAGTTGTAATGTTTTTTAAAGCATTGTTTATTTTCAAATCCACTGGGTTCTCTGGAATGCTAAAAAGACAAAGACTTGAAAGCACTCAAGGAATGTCAAAACATCCTCCTGCACCACCTGCATCTACATCCAGAATGTCAGCTGATGGTGAGTCAACTTCTTTTGTCATAATCAGTTTGAGAAGTTTTTCTTTTCTCTTGTTTGTAATTACAGCACAACTCATTTTACACAACAGACAAGGATCAGCTCTTCCAAATGACGAGAAACATCAAGAGCATGGTTCAGGGAAACTCTACTATGTTAAAGAAACTACTCAAAGACAAAGAATCTGAGGTCCCCAGCAATACCAGCATTCCTTCTAAAGACGATAAAACAAACCTAAAACTGCCTCTTAGAACGATTAAAGAAGTGACCAGAACTGAAAGAGAGCTCAACAACACAGAAACACGCAAACAATATGTGAGTCGACAGCATTTAAAGAAAGGGATAATGTACAATCAGTCGCCCATTACAGCAAAATAAACTCTCACCTGTAGCACCTGTACGAGGTTTATTCTGCAATAATGACCGTACAACATCCTGCTTATTCCCCAGCTACTTACTAAATAAATAAATAAAATAAATGGACAATAAAAGCAGAGTCATAGTATTAATGCAGATTCATTATTACTCTGCATCATTTTAATCTGTTTCTATAGATTAGCTTAACATATTTAACTATTTTCTTGTTCTACTAGTTGGTGTAAAATTGTGCAAATGAGCTATTCTACTGTACATACACAATTTTATAAAATAGTATTTTTTACAGGTAAAATATCTGTCAACACTTGGAGGTTTTGGGCAAAAGGGTGTGATTAAGAATATTATGCAGCAAGTTCTGTCAGACGATCTGGCTATGCAGTTCAACTGGCATGGGAGAGGAGATAAAAAGGCTTTCTCTAAGCTTATTTTAACAGATGTGATCAGAGGTAGAATCACTACTGCATGAAAACTTCCCACATACACACAGAAATGTTGTATTTACTCATATTTTGTATGTATTTGTAAATTCAGTCACTTGGTGAACTTAGTCTACAAATTCTATACACCTTCTTCAGAGTGTATAAGAGCAGCTTTGAGTATGAAGCACTACATCCAACAAATTTTCAGTGAATTCTTCATTAAGTTTCCTCTTTCAGATGCTGCATCAAAACAAAGTGTAATGAGGGCAGACTGTGAAACTGAAATAAAAAATTATTTGCGGTGCATAGCTGATCGAATCAGTCGGAAGAGACCAAGAGATTGTGGAGGTGAGTGATAATTATTATGTAATATTGTCTCACTTTCTATAAAATAATCTTCTTCATGAATGTGTACTAGTCAAGCCATACATATTAAGAAACCCACATCCAGTTGTTTAATGATTGTATACTTTGTATAAATACTTCCTTCCCCTTGCAGGTGTGACTTCAGATGTGACTTCTCACTGTGCTAATATAAAATCCATCAGGAAATAGTGAAATACTGGAGAATGTGTTGGACTGTGGTATCACTGCATGCATGGACAGGTTTTCAGGTGTATTATAGTAGTGGCTTTATTTGCCTGATCCAATAAGGTTCCTTTCCTCAATATCAAATACTCAAATGCAATTTGGTGTTTAATCCAAATAGGCTATTTCTTTCTTTTTCAATGTTACATAAATAAGATGTAATAATTTCATTCAAAATAAACCATAACCGCACATAACATTTAAAGGGGTGGTTGATTGAGATTTCACTTTTTTTAACGTTAGTTAGTGTGTTGTTTGACCATAAACAATGTCTGCAAAGTTACGAAGCTGAAAGTTCAATGCAAACGGAGATATCGTCTTTTAAAATTCTGGCAGTTTAATGCCTACAAAAGCGGCTGGTAGGGACTACAACAAGTTACTTCCCGGGTTCGTGACAGTAACAAACTATACTTATTTTCACATAGCTATGAGAAGCATTAAACATGGACGTGTATGCAGTTGCCATACTGTATTAAAGCTTTAATCAGGATAAAACCGTATATTAAAAGCTAACATAAGCAGTAGTATTTACAAATAACAGCATATCTAAAAGTATGAGACAACAACAAACAAAAAACATAGGCCAACCATTAAAAGCCGTGCTTGTACAGGTTATGCACCATCCTCTTCAATAATATCCTCTGCTTCTCAATCGGGCTCAAACTGATAAGCGATATTAACGACACCGTTGTTTACAATACAATGCGCACTAGAGGTGGTTTAGCCAATCACACTGGGCTAGCTAACCAATCAGAGCCCATCGCCTATTTCTGAGGGAGGGGCTTCATAAAAGCAGGAAATGATCAGCGCGTTTCTCAGAGAAGGGACAGAGCGGTGTGGAATAAAGGTAAATTATGCGAAAAATAATGCGTTTTTTTAAAGACGAAGCATTAACACATGTTAAACTGCACTCCATAAACACAATCAAGCCTAGAAAAAACCAGTGAACCACCCTTTTAAATAGCTTTTTCCTTTTTTAGACAGATGAAGGCTTACAATAGTGAAATTCTAGTAGATGACAAACATGTGAATATTGGGTGACATTACAGTCCTCGGGGGAATCTTCAACTGATGTACAAACTGCACAGGCAATTAACTTTTCTTAAAATCAGCAGATTAGAGCTCATTTAGCTAAGCAAGTTTTGCTAGCTCTTGTTAATCTCAGTGATTATGAATATGAATGTTATACTGACAATCTCAAATCATTACATCACCACTCAAAACAAAAATATCAACACAATTCAACTGTTTTAAATTTATATTATTTCTCCAATATTTCTTTTTTCTGTAAAATTCATAAATATATGTATATGAGAATATATGGTGTGAGTGTAGTTTAGAAACTGTTTATAGTTTTTGGTTAATCTCATGTTGCCTCTTGAAGAGAAGAAAAAAATCTTATGACTAAGGTTCAGTAAGGATATAAGACACTATTTTTTTTTTTTTGCTCTTTGATTTGTTTTTTCACTTTGCGTTTTAGAGCTTCTGTAGATTAGGGATGGACCTAAAAAGCAGAACACTGGCCATTTCAGAATTCCCTATCCCTGCTATAGTGAAAACATCACAATAAGCTTAAAATGTCCTTACAAAAGGTTTGTTATTAAGTCCTCTTTATAGCACAGTATTTAATCTGCATTGAAAGATTTAGAGACCACAATTACCTATTAAAGGCACAGTATGTATGAATAATGCATTAAAATATCCAAAAACCACTATAACAATGTTATATCAGCCACTAAGCTAATGCATTCAGGATCGTTATGACAAAATACAAAATGCTCAAATGTATTTTAGTATGATAGTTTTGACCATGTAAAACAGCAATGCATAACCCTAAATTAAATTAGCCAAATAAAGAGACCTGTCTTATTTGTCCTAGCAATTTTCCTGCTTGGGTGCAGGGTCTGCTGTTCTGCACGCCCGTCTCCATTTGGCTCGGTCCAGAGCATCCTCCGGGGCGATGTTGGCTTGCCATGCGGCTTAGTCGGAGTGCTGTTCTTGCCACCGATCCTTCGTCGCTTCTTACGACGTGGCCATACCACCGGAGTCGTCCTTCTCGCATTTTCTCCACGATTGGGGCGATGCCCATTTGCTTTCTGATGTCTTCGTTTGTCACGTGGTCCCATCGGGTCAGACCAAGGCACCATCGCAGCATTCGCATTTCCATTGCGTGAAGGGCTTGCTCGTGCTTGGATGTTGCCGGCCAACACTCCGATCCATAGAGGACTATGGGACGTACCACGGTCTTGTAAATCTTGGCTTTCATTCGAATGGGCATTCGTCGATCGCACAGGACACCGGTGACTTGGCACCATTTCATCCAGGTGGCGTTGACTCGGGTTCGGGCGTCCGGGAGGGTGTCGCCGTCGCTGCTGATGACAGATCCGAGATGCTTGAAATTGGTCGCCTTCTTCAGATCTTTGCCGTCAATGCTGATGGCTCCGTTTGTCTGAGGCCCGCATTCCATATACTCGGTCTTCTTGATGTTTAGCCGCATTCCGTACTTGTCCAGTCGGGTCTTCCATTGCTGCGTTTAGTCTTGCAGCTGTTGACGATCTTCGCTTGCCAAGAATACGTCATCAGCGAAGAGGAGCGACCACGGGTGGGCGGTTTGGATGTCGGCCGTCACCGTGTCCATAGGATGAATAGGAGTAGGCTGTCTCCACTTCCGCTGTCGTGATCGGCAAGACAGGGCCAGAGACGGGGATTGGATTGGCAGATGAGGAAATTCGTCGTTGCTGATTTTCGCAAAGCAATCGCTCCAGCGCTGGAGGATGGCGGGGGCGTCTCGCAAGGTGTTGCCGTCTTTGTCCTTGACGTGCTTAACTTGGCCGAAATCTTGCGTTGCGTGATGGCGGGCGTTGGCCAATCGATACATTTTGTTTGCTCCCTCTGGCGTGTCCAGCTCTTTGTTAAGCCGGTCATGGAATGCGGCTTTCGCCACCGCGACTGCTCGCTTCGCCGCCGATTTGAGCGCTTTGTATTGTTCGTAGTCCAGTTGGCTGCGGGATTGGTGCCACGCTTTGAACGCCGCTTTCTTCTCCTTGACCGCCTTTTGCACTTTGTCGTTCCACCACCAAATTTGCTTGTCGATCATCCGCTTTCCCGGCTTCGTCTTTCCGAGGGCTCCACTCGCCGCATCGTGGATTCGGCCGAACACGTCGCTCTAGATGGCATCCACCAGCTGGTCAAGGTCCACGTCGTCGAGTCTGAGGGCGCCCCTTAGTTGATCCTTGTTCTCAGGGAGCTTCCACCACTTGATCCGCTCTGTCCCAGTCGTCTGTGCTCGCCGATGCTGTCCGAGGTCCAATTGGATGTCCATAACAAGGAGCCGGTGTTGTGGGCCAATGTTGTCCGACGGGATCACCTTAACGTTGGTTGCCAGTTTCAGGTCGCGCCGTCTGAGCATCCAATAATCAATCTGGGTCGTTCTTCCACCGCTGCTGTAGGTGATGAGATGTGCCGGTCTCTTTGTGAAGAAGGTGTTGGCCACAGCAAGATCGTGGGCCTCGGCAACCATCGTCGTTGCGGGTGCCATACCCTTGCCTGCCGTGTACTCGCTCGTATCCATCTTGTTCCAACCCGACGTGTCCATTCAGGTCTCCACCGAGCACCAGGCATTCTTCCGGGTCAATTGATCGAAGATGGGCTTCCAGGCTCTCCCAGAACGCGTCCTTAATGTTGGTCGCGCACCCAGTTTGCGGGGCATACCACGAGACGACTCGCATCAACGTCGATCCGGAGGACATAAGCCGGTCGGACATCCGGCTGACTCCGACGACGCTATCCCGCAGCTTTTCACTGACCGCGATTCTGATGCCATTCTGGGTGGATCGTTCGCCGTTGTAGTAGAGCTTGTAGCCATCGCGGGACAGGTTTCAAATCACCCTCGGTGCTGAATGAATGTTACTGTACTGTAAAACACAGCCATCACAGCAAATGTTACACTTAAGTTCAGATGTAGGAGGGACCTCGATTTAAAAAAAAAAAAAAAAAAAAACTTCAGCCATGTGTTTTGAGACATTTTTGACTGTTGTTCCCCCTTTTTGAAATGAAACCAAACTGAAGGTATCGCTCAACAGAACACCTACATCTAATCATCAATCCAAATAACCATTGAGAATGCAATGGCGTCTTGCTGTGAAAAGTTAGCATTAAAAGTTACACTCATTGTAATCACAAACTATTTACTTCAAATGTTGCCCTTATGGGTTTGCAAAACAATAATTCTAATTAATCTCAATCTATATACAAGTAAATAAGAAGAATTAACAAATCACTACCAGAAACACAAAATCATGAAAAAAGGTAATCAGAACACTGTTGGTTCAAACCCCACACTCCACATAACACAATGCAGCTTCTAAATGAGGGCCATCATTCACTGTAAAAAGTGGTAACCTGTAAATGTTACATTAAAGACATATTTCTACCTGATCTTACTCTTAAATTTAGTTTGTGTGTGTGTGTAACCTAATATATTAAAAAGGGTTAGTTCACCCAAAAATGAATTAGGCTGTATTTTACTCACACCCGAGGCATCCTAGGTGTATATGACTTTCTTCTTTCAGACGGATTCGTCTGAAAGAAGAAAGTCATATACAGGATGCATTGAGGGTGAGTAATTTATGCGCTAATTTTCATTTTTGGGTGAACTAACCCTTTAATGGTTAGTAATATTTAATAAGATCATTATTTAATGTAAAATGACATGCTTACACAAATGTCAATAAGCTTTCAATTCATATGATCAAGCACTTCTTGAAAATCTACAAATGATTTTAATAGATGTTATACAATGATTAAAAGCTTTAGCGTCACTTTTTGATGTGCAGGGTACTCCATTGCTTTCAGTTGTTTGCCTTAATTTAATGGTTTGCGTGCATTCGTAAAAATAGAAATCATTATATATAAATTAACGTTTTCATTAGAGCACCTAACCCCACCTCTACCCTAAACATATCCAC